CCGTTGTACTTTATTAAGCAAGACTAGTTGGAACTTACTCAGCACCAACTAGCTCTGCTTAATAACGAATAGACCTCTGCAGTTAGACTTTATTGTGCCAAACTAGTTGGAGCTTACTCAGCGCCAACTTTGTTTGTACAAAAACTATTGGGAACTACACGTTATTAAGCAAAACTAGTTGGAGCTTATTCAGCGCCAACGATTTTTGCTTAATCAACTTATTTTATTATTAAGCAAGACTAGCAAGCACTTACTCAGTGGCCACATTGCTTTAAAAAACTTGAAGTTCTGATCGCTGTAAAGAAACTCAGAACAAGACAACACACACACACACCAACAGCTTGTCCTTGCCTGCGCTTGCCTTAAAAAGCAACAATTGCAAAACTTTTCAGAAAAACACAGCCAAGCATCACGAATTGAAGCGTGACAGCTATCATTGATATTGATGCATTTTCTTTTTTTCCATGTGCTGAGTCGATTGAAGTCAAGCCATATCGTTTTGTGGATGGCTTTCACATGATATTCATGGACTCAACACTTTCTCAAGGCCACAAAAGGTCTCCCCTGTACATTGCGTAGCAAGATGTACTTGCCTTTCATGGGATTCTTCTTTCACGGAAGGATCATCTGTCACACTGGCGTGTCTGTCAAAAGTGAGACGTTGAACCTCTTCTTCCGCTTGATCCTGCCAAAACCAAATTGGCTTCGGTTTTCAATGCGGCACACCCACCCTCTGGCTTTGAGGAACCTCGTGAAATTAATCCACTGCGCCACGGGCAGGGCAACTTGAGGTGTTCCTTCAGCGGCTGAGTCGTGCTGCACACAGGTGGCATCATGAACAAAGCGCGTCCATTGAATGGCATGTGGAACCGCCATCCGGAAAGCTGGACAAGATGGCTCGATGACCGTCAGGGCTAAGGCTTCCCGTGGATACGGGTTGCCATCACCAGGACGAAGATGTTTCACATGGATCCATCCCTGAACTTGTCGAGGCCTTGGATGATGCCGCATCATAGCTCTTGAGCTTTGCCCCCTAGCCCTTGCTTTTGCTTTTGCCTTCGCCTTTGCTTTTGCCGCTGGAGGCATGGCGACAGATTGGGTCTAGGCAGGTGAGGCCACTCAATGTCAAGCTGAGATGCAAAATGCTGCAGAATCCAGAAACAATGCAGAATCCAGAGTCCAAAATGACAGAACAATTTGGCGCTTAAGGAAATACATAGAAACGAGAATAATCTTGCCACTTACTCAGCGCCAAGACTTTTCTTGTTTCATTTACACGGACGAGTGCAAATTCATGGGGACCCTGGCCAGCTCAGCAAACATGGCGAACAAGCAAGAACATGCGCCTCGACCGTCACCAGTCTCACCCGCACATTTTGCACAAATCCCTTCCCCGATCACTATTGACAGATAACTATCGCACGTAAGATTGCTCCAAGTCCACCTGGTAGATGAAATCTCGGAAGCGCTGTACAGTCCATGCGTGGGAAATGCTTGCAAACAGTTCCCTCTCATCCTCATGCACCAGGGCTATGACCGAGGCAGGCGCCTTCCGATCCATAGCGCGCTGCTTGGCCTGCGCAAATTCTTCCAAGGTGCCTGCAAGTTTGAACGTCCGGCACTCCAACTTCTGGAGCAGGTCGTAGATGGCACGATTGCTCTCTTTGCACTTCTCAGTGCAGTGCACCTTGCGCTCTGTGCGCAATCCTCGTTTCATCTTCAAGCATGGCCCACTCCCACTGATGACAAAGCCTGGGGTTGTCAACCAGGCACCAGTCAGCCCAACAGCGATGGATGTCAGAAGGGGCAAATTGTTGAGATTGGGTAAGACAAGTACCTGTGCCGAAGCCAGTTGGAGTGTCACATGCCAATCCTTCTGGTCCATGGCATTGTCCAGCTGGCGGCAGCGCAAATCATCAGCAACCATGACAGCCAATCCATGCAATTCCTGCGCTGGAGGCTGTTCTCTCCGACGGACTTGCTGACCCAAACGTAGCTCGGCCCTCTCCCGCTTGAGCATGTTGGCTTCTTTCTTTTCAAAGTAGCTGATGGCTTCAGGCAACATTTCCGCTGGGACCTCATTGATCTTAACTGTTCCGGAGCGAAGACATTCAAAGATCTGTTTAATTTCCTTCTTCGCATTGAAATGAAGTTCCCGATCATGGTCATCTGTCCAGGCAGCCGACGAGCAAGCAACCACTTTGTCATGTGGATCATGTGGGTTCTCCATGCCACGTTGGACGGCCAAACGGCGTCTTTTTTTTGAATTCTGACTCCGTAACCTTTTCAGGCGTCATCTGCCAT